GGGGAGGGTGAACGTTAACACCATAGCAGTTTTCTTCCACAAGTTTCATTATCTTTACCTCAATAATTCATTGAATCTTCTTTTTACCAACAAGGAGGAGGGAAAAGACCACAAGACGCCACTCCTCCCTACAGTGACCATGCCACTGATCAGACCACATCATGATGGAGGACTGGGAGGAGGAGGAGGAAGAGGAGGAGGAGGAGGAGGGGGAGGAGTGGGGATGCAACTGGCAGAGGGTGTGAGCAATGACAGGACACAACTGTCGGAGCCCGAGAGTGTGGAAGGTGATGTTGTAGCTGTTGTCTGTTGTTGTTGTTGTTTTTTGTTGTTGTTGCTGTTGAGTTGTTGTTCCTGTTATTGTTGTTGTTGTTGTTGCTTCTGTTGTTTTTGTTGCTGATTTCTGTTATTGCTGTTGTGCTGTTGTTGTTGTTGTTGCTGCTGTTGTTGTTGTTGTTGTGATGGTGGTGGTGGTGGTGTCTTTGTTGTCGTTATTTTCACTGAATTAAAATCCAAGTTTGTCTTAGAAAATTGTTTCTCATATATATTATTTTTGTAATAAGAATTGTATGACACTTGCAACACGATTTGGGTCATATAAAAGGCAAGAATTTAGAGGTATTACTTGAGAATAACGAACACAAAAAAAGAGAGGAGGAGAGATAAAGAGAAGAGACGTTTGATTGGAAAGAAAGAGTAAACCACATCAGAGCACCCGACAACAACCCACGCATATTAGACCTATATTAATAAGTTTCCGACCATGAAAGAAATAATCATAAAACTAACTGAAGACAACACAAATCTTCCAGACAACATAATCCAAAAACAAACAAACAAAGAAACAAACAAAAAATAAACGAACAAACAAATTAACAAACAAAACAAATGAAACAAACAAAAGATCCCCATTCCCTTTTCCCTCTCCTCCTCAATAAAACTCTTTGTCTTCTTTTTCAAAAAAAAAACAGAACCCCGAGAAGTCTACACAAAACCTTGCGGAGGGCAAGAAAAAGAACAGAGTAATTCTGTTGTAAAAGAGAACAAAGAACACGGAACAGATATTGAAACCATAATCATGTTGGAGGACTTTTGATAAAATTTCAACCTGAAGATAGGCCGACCGACAGACAGACAGACAGACAGACAGACAGACAGACAGATAGACATCTAACCCTCAAATGTTATGTGTACATAACGTAAGA